ATATTATATTAATATATTAAGAGAAAACGAAAGAAAAATAATTATTTTCAAATAAAATAAATTAAATAATATAATATTTAAAAAATGTATTCATTTTTTCACATCAATATTTAAAATAAAGGATAAACTTTTTTTTATTAAAAAGTAACAAAAAATAATTAGAAAATAAAAAATCAATAATTTTTAATTTTTAATACTTTTTTATATAGTGATATTTTTTCAAAATTAATACTAATTTTAAATTTTTTATAGCTTTATAAATTAGTAATACTATATCCATTTTTTTTAATTTTTCTAGAAAGTTATTATCTGTTCTTCTTATAGATCACTTGATAATTTTATCATTAGATTATCAAAGAAGATAAAAAACATTTTTATATATTTATTAAATAGTTTAATAATTTCTTGTAAATAGATTTTGCGTTAGATTAATAATTTTAAAACAAGAAAATTATTTGAATTTTTTAATCCTTTTTTTAAACTTTCTGATCATAAGACTTTTAATAAAATAATTTTAGATAAAACTATTTTTGAAAGAGATAATATAATAAAATTATATTAAAAGAAGATTTAGTAGGTATTAAATTTATATTTAATAGTTTGATAAATATAAAAGTAAATAATTATTAAATATAGTTTTAATGATAATAGAAAAAAGATCTTTTATATAACAAATAACTCAGAAAAGAAAACACATATTAAAATAATAAAAAAATATAAGCTATAATTACTAATTTAAAAAATTAAAAAATTAGAATTTATACTATTATAATAGCTAATATAAATGTATATGCTGTAGCTAAGTAATTAATTATAAATAATGTTAATTTTATTTAATACATGTATATTTTTTAACAAATTTTTAAATATTAAATAAAAATTAAGGATTTCAAATAGAAAAATAGTTTTTTTTATCTTGTTTTACATATTAACTTAATTTTTGTATAGATAAAATATTTAAAGAATTAACTGATTTAAAGTATCAATAAATTATGCAATCAAACTTATAACTTATTTTAGAAATGCTAATAATAATTTCTTTATAGTAAGACTACATGATTAGCAAAAATTACTTATAGAAAATATTATACACTAGTATTTTTAGGTAAAACTTAAATAGCTTTATAGATAAATCTTATAATATTAATAAATAATTTAATTAATTTATTTATTTATTAAATATGTATATTTATTTATATTTATATTGTATTTTTTTAAGATAATTGCAATTAATTATAAATTATCTTTTAATTAAATTTAAAGAAAAATAGAAAAACTTCTATTATTTTATGTGAAATTTTTGAAATTATTAGTTTAACTATATTTTGAATTAATATAAATATAATTATAAAAATATTATATTCTTATTATAAATTCTTAATATTCTTTTATAAGATAAAGCATAATTATTTCTAGTTATACATAGTTTTACATATCTTATACAATTTTAAATAATTATAAAGATACTTAACTTTCTGCAAAAATATTATTTTGATTAGAGAAAAGGTAGAATGAGTGAAAGCAACTATTTTTTGTTATTATATTTATTATACTTTTAATATTATATAAATAATTTAAAGATAATTTAAATATTAATTATATCACTTTTAGCAGATAACAAGTTAATTATTATCAAGTATAGTCTGAAAAAAAGGCAACTTGTATTTATATAAATTTAATGATTTTTATTTAAAATATATTGTTTTGATAATAATATATATAATCAATTTATTTTAATAAAATATATATTAATATTTTAGATATTAGTAAATCTTTATCTAAGAATTTGAACTAATCTAAACTATTCTGTTTAAAAATATATTCTATTTTAATAATATTACTATTTTTATCTATTAGTTTAACTTTTTCAAACATATAGGTCATTAATTGATTTGATCAAATAATTATAAAGTAAGATTATTATTATTATTATTTTTTAACTGAATGAGTATTAAAGTAAATCATAGATTAAGAAATGAGGTAAATAGGATCTGTTGATAATTCTAGAAAAGTATTTAATAATAATTGAATTTTCAGGTTGTGAAACTAAACTGCATGTATTAGATTAGTATTAAAAATCCAATTAATATTAAAGAAAGTGAATAGGTAATAAACATCTATTAAAATTAGTTGATCAACAAATATAAATAAAAAAATACAAATATTCTTAATAATATATTAATTAAAATGACTTTGTAACTTATAAATTGTGAATTAAGTTTTAGATTTAAGATTATAATTATTATAATTTTTAAAATCTTAATTTTATAATATTCGCAAGTTCATAATATTTATAAATTAATAATTAATCTACAAGTCTATAATTAATCTGCTATATATATCATAATAATTATAAATTACATAAATACATAACTTATACTTTTGTTACAAAGATGTAAATTTATTATGAGAAAATATATATATAATAAATTTATTAGATTAAATAAAAATAAAAAATTATTTATAAAAAAAATTTTCAAAAGTTTAACCTATATAAAAAAAAAAGGCATATTAATAAATATTCCTTATAACTGATAAAGAAACCTACTACTCTATATTAATTATTTTTTAAGAATTATTTTGAAGGTTTAATCTACAAAATAAAGAAATATTAAAAAAAAATGTTTCTTTAATAAATAACCATTTTAGATTAGATAATTTTAAATTCAAAAAAAAATTTTAATTAAAAATTTTTACATAAAACTTATCTCTAATTAAAGATTAAAGGTTTTAAAATCTATAAAAAGGTAAATATTAATTATTTTCTTTAATATTTTAAAAAACATATATATCCTTCTCTTTATAAAAACTTATCTTTAATTCTATAGTTTGAAAAATTCTAAAATTTACAAAAAGTAAGCATTTATTTTTTTTTTAAAAAAAAAATAAATCACACTCTTTTTTTTGTTTATAAAAACTTATCTTTGATTCTAAGACTTAAAGAAACTCTAAAACTTATAAAAGGTAAGCATTAATTAAATTTTTTTTTTTATTTTTTAAAAAATATCTTATACTCTTCTTTTTTTTTATAAGAACTTACCTTTGATTTTAAGGCTTAAAGAACTTTATAACTTACAAAAAGATAAGTGTTAGTTAATTTTCTTATTTTTTTATTTTTTAAAAAATAAATTTTACACTCTCCTCTCTTTCATAAAAATTTGCTTTCGATTTTAAGGTTTGAAAAACTTTAAAACCTATAAAAGGTAAGGATTAATTAGTTATTTATTTTTAAAAAAATTTTAACATATTCTCTCTTCTTTTCATAGAAACTTAACTCAAATTCTAAGACTTAAAAACACTCTAAAACCTATAAAAAATATACATTAATTAGTTATTTTTTTTTTTTTTTATAAAAAATTTCTAATATACTCTTATCTTCTTCTATAGAAACTTATTTCTAATTTTAAAGCTTAAAAAAACTCTAATCTTACAAAAAGTAATTATTAATTAATTATTTTTCTTTTTTATTTTTTAAAAAAATTTTTAATATATTCTATTCTCTCCTTTCATATCTAATTCTAAAACTTGATGAACTTTGAAATTTACAAAAAGGTAAATATATGTTAATTTTCTTATTTTTTTTTTTTAAAAAAAATCTCATATTCTCTCTTTCTACCATAATCATTTATATCTGATTCCTAGGCTTGAAGAAACTTTAAAACCTATAAAAGATAAGTATTAATTAGTTTTTTTTTTCTTTTTTATTTTTAAAAAAATTTCTAATACACCATCTTTTCCTTTTATAGAAACTTACCTTTAATTCCAAAGTTTGAAAAACTTTAAACCTATAAAAAGTAAGTATTAATTAGTTTTTTTTTTTCTTTTTTTAAAAAAAATTCTATCATACTATTCCTTTTTTCTATAGGAATTTACTTTCAATTCTAAGGCTTGAGGAATTTTGAAACTTATAAAAAGTAAGTGTGAATTACTTTTCTTATTTTTTTTTTTTAAAAAAAAGTCAATATTGTTTTTAAAATTTATTATATTAAGATGCATTTAATAATATTATTAAATTTTTAGTATTAGTAATTATTAATAATATATCAATTTTAAATTAAATTAACTTATTATCTAAATAATCACAAAAAAACAAAATTTAGTTATTAAATTTAACCTTTTCTGGATTGATAAATAATAAGATATATGAGTTAAAAAATTTAATTTTTTTGTAATATATTTATTTTTAAAAATTAATTAATTACTTTTTACTTAGAAATTATTTAAAAATGATTTTAATTATTAAATAAAATTGCAGGAAATTTTTAAGTAAAACCATTTAATAATATCTTAGGGAATGAATTTAAAAGCAAAATTTTAAGTATTTTGTATTTATAAATTATTTAATAGTAAAAGTATTATCTTATTAATAAATTTCTTAATATTTAAATTTATATAATTTCTATTAGTTAAATATTTATTACAGTATAATATCTTTTTGATAATAATTTACTTAAAATAATTTAATTATCTTACAAATAGGTTAGAATACATTTATAAACCGTAAAATTGATATATAAATAATTTTAATTTAGATTATTTTATTTCTTAGATATTTATATAAAAATTTAGTAATATAATCCATAAACTTTACAAAAAATAAATTGAAAATTATAGATTAAAATTTATTGAAACTTATTTATTCATTAAATTTGTCAAAAAAATTTTCAAAAAGTTTTGACTTGGTCAAATTATCGTTGTTCTATCAACATTAGGAATGGGGACGGTTCCTACTTCGACTCTTCTTAAGTAAATTAAACTTTGAGCGTTAAGTTAAATTTATACTAATAGAGCATCATGTGATGAATTTAGAAAATATTTTTTGACTGATTATCAAACAAATTCGTCCTATTATCTTCTTTAATTTGATGACAATCCCGATTTTGAGCCGACTCTTGGAATCGGTTCCGGTTTGTAACTCTGGAAATCCCAGAATATGCTGAATTTATAATCGGATCCGGAACCGACTCACTCGGAGTCGCTCTTTTTGAGCGTCCCCATCCCTAATTTTTCACATAAAAATTTCTGAATTTTGCGTCAGTTTTATTTACTATGTAGGCATTCTATGATAATTTTTTTTATTTAAATTGAGTAGAGAATTGAATATTTTAAATATGTTACTAAAATACTAAAGGAAATAAAATATTTAAATCTTCTGCAACACCAATGTCTTTTGCTAAATTTGCTAAATTATTTTTTTTTTGATAAATTTGAAATGTCAAATTAAGAATTTTTTTAATCGAAGAATATGTGTAACGGCTTTTAGTGAAATATAATTTTATTTTTAACGCGTTATTACAATTGTATTAGAATACGCTTTTTTTTTCGCCGACGAAAAAAAATTTAATTTTCAAAATTATTTTATTAAAAAGATATGTACAGTCGCGTCGAAAAGTGACGCGCGATTTAAATTACATAATAATTTATGCATAATTTAAGTTTCTGGATCTTACGATTAAATTTTAAGCTCCCCAAAGTTAAATATTATATTTTAAAAATATTACTAAAACTTTTTTTTAAAAAAATACAACTGGCTTTAAAATTATATAAATTTAGAAATAATTATTAAAGTAAATCCTAATATGTATATAACTTGAAAATTTTCTTTCTTTATATGTTTATAAAATTTGGATCGGGCGTCACTTTTCGACGCGATTGTGCATAAATAAAATCATTTGATTCCTTTTATTAAATCTTTATTGGTATAAATACATTTTAACGTTAACAAATAGACGCACAAAAAAAGAATATACCCAACCTGCCTTACCTACTCAAACAAATATATTCGAAAAAAAAAATTTCGAAATTCAATCAACCGACTATTTAATTTCATTGATAATAGTTTTTCTAAATCTATTGTTCCTATCTATTTTTCCTTTACTAAATAAATTTCATCTGTTTTATCTCATTATATCCAGTGTATTTTACTACTATTATCATTCAATTTGTCTAATTCTTGTTCTCAGCGTCCTATATTATTATAATTAACTTTTGATAAAAAAAAAATATATATCGTATTATTAATTAAAATTTTACTTTGCGTTCCAGTATTTTTGTTATTATATTTATATCTAGCTTTTATTTTAGTGTTTGTATAAAAAAGTCTTGATTAGAATATATTTAATATATCTTTGATTAAAATACATTAGAATGATTTTGCATGCGAATATATATCGTTTAAGGTAGAAAGTTTGAAGCCGATGCCTACTTCCTTTTTTTATTTCTTTTTAAGAAAATTTATCTAGTTTCGACGTTGGAAAAAAAATTGATTTATTGCGAGAAGATCTAAAAAAATTAGAGGTTTTCTATTAAAATCACGTAACGAGATCATATGATTTACTATGTTTGTATATGAAAATATTACCATAAATAGTGTTCGATGATGAAGATCATGAAGATCTTCGAATCCCACAATTTCAAAATTTCAACATTTCAATATAAATAAGAACAAAATCCATCTATCAATTCCTCAGTGTTCTTGTGAAGTAGACGATGTCTATAGGCTGACTTTGTCGTTCAATAAAGGGCGACATTTGATCGCCAAGTAGTCTAGTCTTTTTTCATAAGTGGTAAATTTTTTTTTATATTAAAGCGGGTGGGTGATAGTGGGAAATGTATGGTTTACTGAAAATTATAAACAAAATATTTAATTCATGTAATTCAATATTGAATAAAATCGCTCAACCTGTACTTTCATATAGTCGTTCCAATTAAAAAATGTTGTTTGATTTGTTTCTAAATTTGAAAATCGAAATGAAATTTTATTGTATTAGCTTTTTTTTAAAATAATTATGAAATTAAAAAATTTATTAAAAACAATTCTACCACGTCGGACGCGGACCAAAAATTTGTTCGATGGTTTTTTTACGGATGGTTCAAGTGCAGGGCGTAATTCTCAATGTGATATGTTAATTTATAAAGACCGTTGTTTATCTTTGGAAGTGAACTTACGATTTGAGGCACCATATTGACAGAACGAATCAGACCTATTATTGGAGAGAAGACGAAAATTTCTATCCTCAAAATATTCCTTGTGGTGAAAAACTTGTAACAAGCAAAAAAAAAAAAAAGGAATTAAAAATATATTTATATGAAATGTGTAGGTTCCTTTTGTTTAATACATTCAGAATCACTTTCTTAGCTTTAAATGTTTAGGTTTTTTACTCATTTAAACCATTAATATTTACGCAATTTTTTTTTTAGTTTATTGTTTTATCGACATTTTTTGATTTATTAATATTTTTTTAAACGTTTAATCAATAAAAATTTAAAATATATATACACATTTAAGAAGACATCTATTTAAAAAGATATATCATAATATAGTCGAAAAAGCACATCAAAAATCAATTTCTTTCTAGAAAGCAAGTAATGTATGTGGTTTAGGAGGCATTTACTATCTATCTATAAAACGAATTTTTTTTTTAAAAAAAAAAAAATTCATCGCGAAAATCGAATTTCTGATGATCACATACAAAGCACGTGATTTTGCAACGAAAATCATTATTTTAAAATTTTTTTTTAACTTTGAACACTTCATAATTTTCTATATCGAAAACACTCTGATCCATAATTCTTTTTATATAATGTTCATGTACATATTCTCCGCTAAATATACGTAGATCCATACCAAATCCAATACCATAATGACTATCCCCGTCAAAAATAGCAGCGTTCGTATCTTTAACCCTGCTAAGAATGATATCATCGATCCCTTCCCTACTTTGATAAGATATAAATGAAAATATAAAACTTTCATCTGTTACAATCCATTTATTTGTACTTTTCCACGGTTCAGGATTATACCCTCCAATAATAATATTTGTTTTATCAACCTTTGCCAAGACTAACGTTGGTCCTTTATCATTACATAATGAGGCAAAGGTTTTTAGATCCATGCCATCTTTACTTCCTCTTGCCAATAAGGTGAAATTATTATTTAGATTTGAATTTTCAACACCTCCTTGGTCATCTCCATCAATCCAACGTGATATACGTTTAAGTTGCGTATTATCGATTAATTTGGAATTAAATTTAATATCGGGAAGTCGAAATCTTGGGAATGGTGAAGGTCTATCTTGAGTTAACGGTCTTACAGAAACTTCGTCTAAAGCTTCGGGTTTAACTTCAGAAGCCGGTTCCCCCCTCCGATACTTTGGTTTAAAAATTGAAGAATTTCTTTTCAAAGTCGTAGGATCCCTTCTCAACTTACGGGGTTTTTCGTTAGAGGGTGGGGCAAGATTTCTCATTAAATAAAACTTTTCTAACTGATCAACCGTCGAATGGGTTAATATTTGTTTTAATGGACGAACTTTAGTAAAATATTCATCCGAAGGTATGGTAAAAAATCTAATATACGGAATGAAATCTTTTATGCGTTCTTTTAATACATCAAAATCTAATTCTTTCCATTTACTTTTATCTTGTTCCATTATACAAGGTGTTTGTTCTATCCCCCATTTAACTATATTTTGCCATATTTCGGCCTCTGGTAAACTGATATCGTCACGTTTAATTAATTCCAATAAAAAGTCCTTTTTTATTTTATAAAAATGTCTTGATTTAAATAATAATGCGGGATCTTGTTCAATTAGGTCACAACAACTCACTAGTAATTCTGCGAAATTTTCATGGTTTGAAGAAGTTTGATGTACTTTAACCAAATTTTGTTTAATCCATTCGAGTTGTTGATCAATAAGGTACCTTTGAAGGTAATTTACCATGCAAAGTAGGCCCAACTCATCAGCTGCGATGGTCAAACTAAAAATGAATTCATTATTATAATCATCCAAGGAAAACTTCCCCGTATAAATGTACCTACATTTGAAGCAAAAGGAACGAAAAAAAAAAAAGAGGTAGTCAGAATGGATTTACTTGTTGATTTCTCACGAGGTACTCACTTTAGGCATACTCTGAAAGCTCTTGGAGAGATATCGGTGACTTCCAAGTTAATACAATCACCTCCTCTGTTAAATAAGCTATTTCTTCTTTGTAGATATTCGTTTATAGATTTTCGAAAATATTGCGACCTAGATTTTAAAATTAACGAATGCGCTTTAAAACTTTCTTGATTAACTTTAATCGTTACATTAAAATCTTCATTGTTCTCATAAAGTGATTCAATATCTTGTAATAAGAACGATGTTAGATCCGCTTCAGTCATTTTTTTATGCTTTGATAAATTATTATAATGATTTTATTATTGAATTGAATGAATGAATGAATGATGGTATTTTTTTTAAAAAATAATAATAATAATGAATAAATAAAACGAATGATGAGAAAAATTGACGAAAAAAAAAAAAAACTTTACACTTTTTGTACCCAAAAAATCATAACATAAATAGAAATATAATAATAACAAAAAAAAAAAAAAATGCAAATGAATGGTCGAATTGCGGTAATCTGCATGTAAATCCGGAATTCTGATTCCGGGACGAATGATGTAAGAAAAAGAGATGTGACAAATAAGGCTAATTTATTTAATTGCGATACATATAATAATATTACTATAACAAGTAACAAAATAAAACCATTATTATCTTTTAATAAATATTTTAGGTCATTTTCACCTGATAAACTTCGTAATTTGTAATCGAAAAATTTTTCTCAATCATAAGTTTCTTTTCATAATTTACATGTTCGTATATCCCGGAAAATAATTGTAGATCACTAAATCCGATATCATAATTACTATCTCCGTCAAAAATGGCGACGTTTGCATTTTTTATTCTACTCAGGATAATATCATCAATCCCTTCCCTGCTCCCATCAGATTTGAAAGAAAATATAAAACATTGATTCGTCTCAACCCACTTGTTCGTGCTACTCCATGAATTGGGATTATATCCTCCGATGATAACGTTGGTCTTATCAACTTTTGCCACCACTATGGTTGGACCTTTATTATCGCATCGTGAGTGAAAATCATCTCCTGACATGCCATCCCTACTTCCTCTCGTCAATAAAATAAACCTATTTATATTATTTCTGTTACCACGAATTACTACATTATGAATCCCATCAATCCAACGTGATATACGTTTAATTTGATTTCTGTTAATTAATATCGAGTCGAAATCTATTTCGGGACTTGGGGATAATAAACTATCTCCGGAAGACGGTGATTCGGTTCTTGCATAGATTGACGTAGAGATTCGTAAAGGAATCCTCGATTCATCTTTCGTCTGTTCATTCGTCGGTTCATTCGTCTGCTCATTCGTCTGGGCCGAAGAAACGGACGTGACGTCATCGGGCGTCGGAAATTTTTTAGGCATTTTAGACGTAGCACTATTATCACTACCGTTACAGTCATCGGGCGCCAGCTCCTTTGGTTCCGTAGCTAGTTGATCTATAAAAACCTTTGATGAACGCTTCGGCAAAATTCTTGGTGGTAGCGCATATGTTGGTGGTAAACTATTTGGTACGATATAATATCTTTCTAAATCTTCTTTCAATTGTTCTGGTAATACCATGGCAAAAGGACGAATTTCTTCATAGTATTGGGCAGCGGATATGGTAAAAAATCGAATGTGCAAGATTAAATTACTTAATCTTCTTTTTAATAGCATAAACACCTTTAGATCCCAATTTTTAATATCTAATTCAAAGATAGGAGGTTCCTGCTGAATCCCCCACTTGATCAAATATTTCCAAATATCAATTTCTCGCAAACCTAATTCATTCCGTTTCAATAAATCAATTAGATTCGATTCTTTTAATAAATAAAATTGCTCGGATTTAAAAACTAATTGAGGTTCTTCTTCAATTAAGCGAACGCAATAATTCCGTAAATTTTGAAGTGATTCTCTACCATATGATGCTTGATAAATTTTAATTAGATAAGTTCTAACCCAGTCTGTAAAATTCTCGACAATATAATTTTGTAAGTAATTCACTAATTCGTAAAGTTGCAATTCATCGGCCGAGATCATTAAGTCAAGCATGAATAGCACGGATTCTTGATTTGTGATTTCATTCAAGGAAATGGTTCCCAAGTAAATATATCTAAAAACATTTTATAAATTTGTGACGGGTTATTAGGTTATTAAAAGTGGCTCAACAAAAAAAAATAAAAAAAAATAAAAAAAAGGAAAAAGGAAAAATAAAAATAAAAATAAAAGGTTTCATTTATTCTTATTTTTTTTTTTAAAAAAAAAAAAAAAAACTCACTTTAAAATAACTTTAAAAGCATCGGCAGAGATATTAGGTACTTCCAAAGTGATAAAATTTTCTTTCCTAAATAATTTGTTGTTCCTTTTAAGATCCTTTAAGGCATCCTTAAAAAATTGTGACCTGGCCTTTAATATTACCGAATGTGCATTGAAACTATTTATGTCGAACCCTCTACCAATTTTTAGGATGACGTTACAATCCTCATCGGACTCATGAAGTTTCTTAAGATCCTTCAATAAACCTTGCGTTAGGTCCAGTGTCATTGTCATCATTCATTAAACGGAAAGAAAAAAAAATTAAAAAAAAAAAAAATAAAAAAAAAAAATTTTGGGTGAGAAAAGTGACGATGATTAAATCAAATTTTATTTTTAAAAAAAAAATAAGTCGCACAACTATCATTTTTTTTTTTTTTTTTTGCCGTATCACATTCTACGCACAAGAAAATTCTTGAAACGATTCCATATTTATGTCATTGTTTATGAAAATCACTTTTATTTTTTTTTTTATTGGATATCTGTTAAGGATTCTTTTTTATTGCATCAAAAAAAGATTTAAAACAACCTAGTCAAATTAGCTAAAAATAATATCATCGTTAATTTTTTTCCCCAACTAAAGAAATTTAGAACATCGCATTTTGCCAAAAAAAAATATTATACTAATTTTATACTAAACCAAACTGGGAAGAATAAAGAAGTGGCAAATTTTTTGTTATTACCCAAAGTATTACTCTTTTACTTAAATTAGTATAAATTTTTGTGAAACCATGCTTCAATCTTTGTAATAAATAAATAAATAAATAAATTTCAGCTTCCAGAACAGATTTATTATGCCTGGACCGGCATTACTGACGATTTCTTTATCAAGGATCGGTCGGATGATCCGCGGAACCAAAAGAAAAAAAAGTTTTGCGAAACATTTGAGAAACGTTCTCATTGATGTGATCTTTTCTTTTAAGAAAGGCTGTATTCTGATTTCGGATCTTTTCTAAATGAAAAACGGATCGCATCGGATTTTGGTTATGAACAGCACCAAGTTTAATAATTTCCTTTTATAAAATAATTATCTGTAATCTATATTTTATTCTAAAAGGCGGTAAAATAATTTAAAAAAGGTTAAAATTTTAATTTCCGAACTTAAATTTTTTAGTCCTATTTACGTCTATTCTCCATATCACGCTATTTCATACGACTATTAATAAACATATACCATAAATGTCATTCATTTATTTACCACAAGTCAAATTCCCTAACGGGGTTAAACTTGAAAATTTAATTTGGTTATAAGCTAAAATCATTTGTATTTATTTTTATCAAATAAAATTGACTAGTCATTAATTTATGAAAACTGCATCTGATCCTCAAAACTACCACAAAAGATCATCGTCTAAGCATCAGACCTCCTCCAATTTTTAATATTTATTATTCATGAAAAGCGTGGAGTGGTTTTCATGAAATTTTTTTTTTTTTTTTTAGAAAGGAATGCCATTTCTAGATGTGATTGGTGATCGTTCTTTCATTCCGAAGTATGAATATAAAGCTTGATTAGTTAAAGCAATAAAAAATTCCTTTCGAAATTCATTGAAATTCAAGCACTTACTCTTCCAAAGCGAGCAGCACCTGCTCCATGAATTCCATTGGATCCATCCAACTTGTTTTGCTCGAAGCATCCAAAATACCCTTCTCAACCGAATCATTTAAAATCTTGATATATTCTTTTTCAAGTCAATAACCTCCATCCTGAATATTAAATCGTAAACCATTTATCGAATTTCTTTCACATTCAAATAAAAAATTTTCCAGAGATCCTAACGTGAACGTGAAAGAATTTTGTAGATTTAACGTTTTTAAGGTTTTTGGAATAACTTGCCCAAGATTTTGCATCCACATGTCAATATTCAAATCTTTGGTGTTTTTCAAACATAAATTCTTCAACATATCACATGAACATAACAATGAAAGTATCTTTGACGCTGAATTCTCGTTAAAAATAATTTCAAGATCCTTTAATTTAGGACCATACGCTACAATGGTTGATATCAGTAACGAAAAATTTTCCGGATCTGATTCTTCCTTCCATAATAAACACAGGGTGGTTAAATGAAAATTTGTGGTGCTAATGATCTTCACCGTATCTTTAAAATTGATCTTTCTAAAATCTTTGAGTGATAATTTTCTCAAATTCTTGAAAGACGCGGATGATGAAAGTTCCCCAAAGTCATACGGTTTATTATAATTATAGGAAAAAACCCTTTCCTCTTCATCATTATTATCAACGTCATCGTCGTTTTCATCGTCGTCTTCGTCGTAAACGCCTTCGAGCATCATCTCATCAAACACATTTGGATGAAAATAATTATCATCTTTTGTAACGATCAAATATTCCAGGTTATCACATTCAGAAAATATTTCTAACGAGATCGAACCACCAGCATTCACCTCCAAATATTCTAAAGATCTCGCATTAAGTTTCAAAGCATTCGAAATTAAAGGTGTCGTTATGATGGTCGATTTAATTCTTAACATCTGATACCCTTTAGATACTTTAAAAAATTGGCCAACCCTTCGTTATCCTCTTTACAATGAAGGATCAACATGTCAACACGTGAAAATATCTTGCTAAAATCCTCAAAAATATCCTCTGGCCACCAAGTAAAACATTGTAAAACTTCAAGATGAGATCCTTTCGGAATGACATCTGATAAATCGAATAGAAATGGAAACAGAAACACTCGTGTAATTACAATCTTCCAGATTTATATTATATATTACGCTTTCTGAACGATCAACCACGTGCTTTATCAACTCCTTATATACTTTCAACTGTTGTTCCACTTGAACGTCATAATCCATGACAAAATATTGATTTTTCATGTTATGATGAATGATCCATTCCTCAAGTGATAACCATAAATCAGGTAGATTTATGTGTTTAATGAATGAAAAAATAATCAAAATACGGTACCGTCACAGCTTTTAAACATAAAGGCGGTAACACATTGGAATTAACCAAGCGTTCCCTTACATTAAACGGTAAAAGGCGCACGCAAAACTTTAAAAATTTATTACTCGAGTATTCATATCTAAAAGGTTTCCTTCCAAAATAATCAAGACGGCGTTTGCACACCAACATCTATTAACCAAGAGGCATCGGAATAATTTGGAGCAACATTCCGATACGAGCTTGTCAAAAATATTTTGTAGAGTCTCGGGTGGAAGATGATACATTTTTATTTTGAGTGTGACTAAAAAAATTTTTCCCAAGTTTATAGGATTAAATAATCACCCAAATAGGTAAGCTCGTTTTTCACTGCGCCATAACAATGCCCAACAGATATTTATTTAACTTTTTTAAATCTTTCTAAAGCAACGACCCTTGCTTTTTGATGATCAACTATTGGCTTCGGATATCTAAAGGGGAAAGGGAAAAATATTTAAAACTCAAAGTCCTTTAATTAATTTCTTTTTTTTTTTTTTTTTAGAAAAAAGATACATCAATATACTGTTCATACCCTAGCTTTTTGAACTCGGATTCATTCAAAACCCCAAAAGGATTGTGTATTTGTTTAGAATCAAGATGCTTTAATTCTGGAACCCACTTACGAATATATTCTCCGGTTGGATCAAACTTTAATAGAATTTTTTAATTCAATTAAATAATTAAATATTAAAGTAGAAAGAAAGAAAGAAAGAAAGAAACTTACCTTCTTACTTTGAGTCGTTGGATTGAAAATTCTAAAATATGGCTGTGTATTTTTTTTTTTTTTTTTTTTTTTTTGAATTCGGTCATACATCAATTATCCAAGAAAGATTAAAATTTAATATGTTAAAATTATTCCTTTTCAACCATACCTGCGCATCCGATCCAGTTGAAGCACACTTTGTTTAAATATTTTTTATAACATTTGAAAATTAATAACAAAATCTAATTATTTAATTTTGAATCATAAAAAAAAAACAGGCTTTTACCCATTGCCATCCACCATTATTGTTTGCAAAATCTCCATCAATCAAATGACTCATAAAATATCTTTCTCCTTTCCTCCAATCAATTAATAAGTCTATTACGAAAAATAAAAAAATTTAGAATATATATATATAAATAAAAAAGAAATAGAAAAAGTAATAAATAATACCTTTGACCAAAAACATGGCAACGATCATCCTAGCTCTGTTATGCATCCAACACATTCCATTAAGTTGTCTCATCCCAGCATCAACAATTGGATAACCAGTTTTACCTTGACACCATCTCCTAAAATTTTCTTCATCATTATTCCATTCAATATTTTCCATATGTTTCTTGAATGGCATATTTTTGCATACATGAGGGAAGGCGACGAGAATTTGTCTGTAAAATTCTCTCCAAATAATTTCTTCGATCCATTTAACGATTCCATTTTTACCAGTTGATAATTTATTATTATTGGATATAAAAGCTTTATAAACGCATTGCCTTGCAGATATAATTCCTGAAGCCAAGTAAGGTGATAATGATGACGTTCCATTTTGCGAGAGAATGTCTCTTGCATCTGAATATTTTGAGACCTTTTGCAAGAGAAATTTCGATAATAAAGAATGACAGTATTGCTCTCCTGCTGGAAAATTGAATCGAGTAATCTTTGCTAATTCTGAAGAGATTTCGAATCCTGGAATTGAAGAAGGAACCTTAAAAGAAAAGGTTTCCAGATATGAATTACGTATAGATACCGAATTTGGAAATGGAATTGGTGATGATTCAAGAATCGAAAGATCCGATTCAACATGACGAAACCAAGAATTCTTGAAAGGCGTATACACCCTATATGGTTTTTCCTCCTAAGAAACATTTTTTTTTTTTAGTATTATAGGTGTAAAAAAAAAAAAAATTTACTTTAAATGCATGTAATGTATGTACCTTCGTCTTTAACAGCCCCGGTTTCACAATACATTGAGAATGCAACATTTCGACTTTGATTGAATTAGACGTTGCAGAATCAAAAACTTGCTTATCTCTCTTCATTTCATCCACCTTTAAAAACAAATTAATCCTTTAGAAAATTTCTTGTAATATGAGTTGCGCCACGTTAATTTCTCACCTCATATTCTATATTGGCGAATAGATGACTTATTCTCAATCTTTTACACCAATCGATCATAACACTGGGAACATCGCTAGCATTATCAACGCTTTCTATAATCAGCGGAATATTTAACTCGTTTAATGATTTCTTTAATTCTTTTAAGTTTCGCAGCCAAAAATCCACTCTGGTTGGAGCTACATCATGTGACCTCCATTCCTCCGGGGAAATCAGGTATATAGCGAATACATAATTACTTTTTTCGGATTTCGTAAAAATTATGGTTGAGGCTTTATGAAGTGCTATATTATCTTGAATTCTTAAATCCGTTCTAAACCACATCAAGCAATTCTCAATGGGAATGTCGATTGACTGATTTGATTCATGTTTTTGTTTTTTAATTGAATCGTCAGGACTTAAGGTTGTTCGAGTCTTTCGTTTCAACGGCATTTTTTTAAAAAAAAAAGAGGAGAGGAGAGGAGAGGAAAGATGGTTAAATGTCAACCTGGAATTTTTAAATTTTTAAGTAATCATTCCCTCATCAGAAATCGATCGAAATATTAATATCGTAAACACTGTTTCACAGGATTAGCTAAGGGAGCCCTTATCGTCCAACCCCATGTATAAATAAATATTTTTTAAAGTATATATCACGTGAAATATACAGTTGCGGTTTAGGATAAAGGTCTACACCCCTCCAAAAGGTTAAAAGGTTAAAATCGTGAATCACGTGAATTTTACGGTGTAGTCACATGTAAATTTGAATTATTAGGTGAACACAAAGACCCATAAAAAAACCAGACAACTTTTCAAACAGGGCGTACATGGGAGGCCTATACATTCTAATATTACATTCTAATAATAGCTAATAAAGCAAATTGGACTAGATTGTATCATTGCATAACAGGGCAAGGCTTTCCTTGTTTACAAAAATGTCAAAAGGCGCATTAACGATTTTCAATTGTTCATTGATTGAATGCAAACGGATTTTCTTGGATTTTAATAGCCAATGAAGTTAGAGCTTGCTCTTATCCGAACATCTCCCTGCAAGTTTATTAAAGATGGTACGGACCGTATTTTTATTTATTAGGGCTGGGTAGCACTAAACAAAATGTTACCAAACAACTAATTTAAAAAAAAAAAAAAAAATTATAAAAAAATGCCTTATTCAAAGTATTTTATGGTAGACAAAGGTCTATAAGTTCTTCTTACATTTTCCTTTTAACGAAAAAAAAAACTCTTTTTTTTTAAAAAAAAAAAATTAAAAATAAAAATAATATAATAATATAATAATTTTTTTTATATACGAAATGGCTACCAAATATGTTAAATTACCTACAAATAATAATAATGTTCTACCGACGACAACACCACAAAGACAACCCTCATCATCATTTTTATCAAACATAAGGAAGTATGTTTACCTCCTTATTTTGATTACGTTTTTCGCTTTATTCGCTTTCTCGGATGAGCTATCATCGATATTCATTCTTGATAATCCAGAAACTTGTGACAAAATGATTTCTGGAGGTTGTGTTACTTTTGTTGAGAATTCAGAAAAATTCATTCCTTTGCCTAAAGATGAAGAAAAGTACATGACATATATTCCTCATTCCGGTTTTCATAATCAAAGGATCGCTTTAGAGAATGCTGTTTATTTGGCGTGGTATTTGAATCGCACGTTAATCTTACCTCCAATTATCTTGGGAAATCGTTTCGGTTGGAGAGATTACGATAAGTTATTGAAACTTATATCTTCACTCAAATCGAACAAATCCAACGTGGAAGAGGAATGTAAAAAGGACTTTCGCCCAAAAAGATGTGTCGAATTTCATAAATCATATATGTTAACAACATGGAAGGATTTATTTAATATGACATTCATTGAGAATCATGTTAGGGTAATTTACAATCACAATGTAAATCTAACCCACATCATTAAGGATCAATTAAAAATCGATGATGAAGTGAATGATGTCATTTATGATAAATTGTACCCGGGATATCACAACTTCTTTGAATACTCGGTTCCTCCGGAAAAAGTTGCACCAATCGCGGATGGGAGAATCTTGAAGTATTATATCTTGGATGAATTTAAGAAACAACCGCAAAAACTTGTGGTTTTTGGAAGTTTATTCGGTCCCGGTACCGTTATAAGGCAATCAACCACAAGTCAAAATTTTTATCACGATACACAACTCTCAATTATTCCGAATAATGAAATCATGACAAACGCCGCAAAGAGAATTAGTGATAGGATGGGAAGTACGTTTAATTATATAACGTTTCATGGAAGGGCTGGGGATGGGGATTATAAACTTTTGGCACATGAACGTATAGCAATGGTAATAAGTAACCTTAAACGTGATATGCCTGATTTTGATTCGGTTGACATGAATCAATATAGAAATTTATCGGAATCAGAAAAACACAATCTATGTTTCGAAAATCTTACTTTACCTGAAGATAAAACGACTTTTTCCCGATTTACTCGTATTTACCTCGCCAGTGATATAGACAAAACTGCTGAACCTTTGCAAGCAGTGTTTGAAACCTTTCCTTGCGTCTATATGATGTCAGACTTTAAGGAAGAATTAGAACCTTTACATCAAATAATTAATAGTGTTGACAATCAGCAGATGTATAAATACGTTGTACCTTTTGTGGATTTAATGACTGGCTCGAACGGGAGGAGACTTTATACTATGGGCAGAAGTACATTTGCCGGTTACATGTTGAGATATCATAGATTAATCGAAAAGAAACATAAAAGTAGTTTGAATGTAATATAATTTTAGAATAAACCAATTTCTTGTTTGTATACTTTTCTTTTTTTTTAATAATGAACATGCGGTATGACAATGACAAAAGGTTCACGACAAATTTAGAAATTTTATTTAAAGGATTCATACAATAGCTTACACTGCTGTAAGGTCATAGGAAGACTTTCCTATGATTGGCTATTGCAGATCAATTAAATTTGGTATTATTTAGATCATGTGATCATATTTATTATTTTATTATTGGTCAACCTTTTTGTCGATCGTACTTATTATAGAAATGCTAATCAAATATTTTCCTATGAGCTGTAAGGGGTAACGCATTAACGTTGCAGTACATAAAATGCCGTATATACTTGCACCATAATCAATAAACAATGATGATAATCAGTTATTTATTTCACAGAATAATATAATTTATATTAAAAATTTATCAACAATTATCCGGATTATTTTATTAAAATCCTAAATTTTTTTTTGTATATATTAAATATAATAAGTTATAATTAATCTTTTAATAAATAGTAATGTTAGATATATATATATATAATTATTCTATTTAAAAAAATATTAATGTAAGATTATATAAAATATTTATAAATAAAATAATAATAATAAAATAAAAAATTAAAATTTTAATTTAATTTAAAAAAAAAAACTTAATTTTATTATTTTAAAATATTTTATTATATAAAAACTTATATAATTATATTTAAATAAAGGTTGCATATTTAAACTTGTTTAGATTTGTAGTTTAACCTTTAATTTGCTAATTTTTTACTAAGAATTTAATATAATTTCACCATTTTATAAGTTTGGATATAGTTTTACTTTTTTCTTAAATTTTGTAGATTTTATTAAATTTTAATATAATTTAGTTAAATTTAATCTTTTACTATTTAGAACCTTTAAATTTTATTAATATAAATTTATAAAATTATAAAAATTAAATTAATAATTAAAATATTATTAAAAAAATTCTTTAAATTACTTAAAATAATTATTATATTTATATATTATTTTTTTTATTATATTATAATACTAATAATAATTACATTATAGTCAATTATAGTAATTTTATATGAACATTAGTGTATAAATATAACTAAAACAATATTTAGATAATTTTTTATAATTATTATAATAAAATTTTTTTTATTTAAAAATTAAACTAATAATTATTGTTAACATAAATTAATTAAAGTTTACTTTTTAATAAATTTATAATAAATAAAAAAAAAGTTGTATTTTAGAATTTTTTAATAAAATTAAAATTTATTAAAATCTTAATTTTTTTAAAATCTGATTTTTTTAAAAATTTAAAATATTATTTTTTAAAATTTAATAAACTTTAAAATAAAATAAATTATTTTATTTGTATATAATATTCATTTTATGTAAAAATTTTAGTTCTATTCTTTAATATAAAATAATTAATTTTTTTATTATTTAATATTTTATTACACTTTTAAAAAGTTAAAAGTTATTTTATTTTTTTAAAAAAAATTATTATTATACATTTTTATTTATAATTAATAAAATTATTTTTAAAAGAAATTTTTTAATTTATAAATAGTAAAATTAAAATTAATAAAATAATAATATCTTTTATTATTAAATAATTATTATCTTTAGTATATATATTATAGTTAATAATTCTATTTATTATTATTTTTTATTATTATTATTATTAATTATAATAAAAATTATTATAATTATAATAAGATCTTTAAAATATATATTATATGATAAATAGAATCTAAATTTATCTTAAATAAAGATAAGTTTTGATATAAATAAAATATATCATTATATTATAAAATAAATTTTTTTATTAAAGTATATTGTCTTATTGATTAATTTTAAATTATAACTATTATTTTTTTATCTTCAAATCATTAACAAACTGAATGACATTAATAATATCTAAATATTTTAAATAATTTATATATTGTAAATTAAGAAATCATAAAATATTATATCATATAATATTAGTAATAAAAAAAAAATATTTTGAAGAAATTATAATATCAGAATTTTTAACTCAATAATGTTTTAAAATTTTTTATCATGTGATTAATAATTAATCAATAAAAATAAGATATTTATCATTTTTTTTGTATATTGTTTTAAAATTATAATAAATCAAACTAACATTATGATTAATTACTATAATATCAATTCAAATAATCATAAATTTTAATCAATAATATATATTCAAATTCAGGATAATCATATAAAAATTATTCAATTTTAAATATCTATAACTTTTTATATAAAATTTATTTTAAAAAACTGATTGGTAATTTAATAGAACTTATTTTAAAAAATAAAAAGATATCAGTTTATTTTTTCTAAATTTTAGTTTTTTAAAGAATTGAAAAATTTTTAAGTATTATTTTATATTATTAAATATAAACTTCTTACATTATATAACATTAAAAGATTAAAAAATAATTAATTAAATAAAAAGTGATAATAGATAAAATTAAGCTAAAATCATATATTATAAAATATAAATTATATAATATAAGATAAAAGTCAAATTATATGATAAGTAATATAAATATATTATAAAATACAGATAAATTATGAGATATAAAAGAATAAATTATTAAAATTATAAAGAAAGAAAATAATAAATAAAACTTTTATAATAAAAATAAAAAAAAATAACCTATAAATATATATGAAGATTATACAAAAGTTCAATAAAAAAAATTAAAAGAAATAAAGTTATAGAATACTTATTTAATTTATATTACCAAAAGAAAATTAATGAAAATAATTAAGAATAAATATGAATATATATATAAATAATAAAGAAAAAGAAGAATTATTATATAAAATATAAAAAACATAAAAAAATAAAAAAATAATTATTAAAAATAAAAAAAGAAAAAAAAATATTTAAAATAGAAATAATATAATAATAATATTATAATAATATAATGATTTTTAGAAATAAAAATATAAAATAAAATTAAAAAAAAATTTTAAAAAATAATTAGTAATTTAAAATAAATGGAAGGAGATCAGTAGAAAAAGGAAAAATCTACTTTTTAGTTAAAAATTTTTTTATTGATTCACTTTACCAAGCATAGTCATATAATTAAAACTAGCTTAATAACTAAAATTACTCAAAATTTATAGATTTTTCCCTTTTCTATTGACTACCTTCCAAATATGACATAATAATAAAAATGTTAGGAGAATTAGAAATTAAAAATTAAAATTAAAAATAAGAATTAGAATTAGAAATAAGAACAAGAAATATTAATAAAAAAAAATAGAAATAAAATAATGATCTAAAATTAATCAACATTAAATTATTATAATTAGGAATAGTATTTTATTTTATAAAAAGAGATATTTTTAGTTTTGATAATAAAATTTATGTAATAATTACTTTAGAATTAATAAAAGAATTATAAGTATAAAAATTAAGGTTATTAATATATTCATATACTAATTTATTAACTGTATTATATATTAATTAAAAAGAATATTAATATTAAAAGAAAAATAATATACAAGATAATATTGTTACACCTAAAAATGATGTGCAAAAATGATTTTTTTTTTTTTTTTTTTTTTCCTATTAATGTGCGGTGGCTTAAGGTCCTGCTAGAGGAAAACTTGTTAACCAAGTTAATGTTACCCT